CCCCCCATGGCTAAACACATTCACTCCTCCTTCTCCCAACACCCGCCAAAAAAATGGACTTTAAGAGGGGAAGGGTACAGAAATATTCTAGTAATTATCCATTTCCAGGATGACAAGTAGATTGCATCTCATATGCCAACTGCCTTTGACTGGAAGGAGGTTGCTTGGAACTTGGAGCCTTGACTTGAGAAGTATTCTGTGGTCTGAGGTTAGCAGGAAAGAGTGTGAGGGCCAAGAAGCCACAGCTATGGAAGGGCAGCGAGATGCTGTGTGTTTGCTAGTCTGATCCAGATCGAAGGAGGGCACCGAATTTGAGCTGCAAATAACTTCCAGGCTGTAAGTGCTGCTGAGTTCTCTACATCATTTTCTCACTTAAAGAACTCTACAGGTATGAAGGACTACTCTTATGAGGTTGGAAAGATGTAATGGAAGGAGAAGTGGGTAAGGGGGAAAGTTCTGCATGGGGTCCTACTACTGTGCTGCTGAGAGTTCTGGGGCAACCCTCTGAGCCTCAGATTTCTCACCCATCAACTCTATAAACACAGTATGTCCCTGGTTCTAGATTTGATTCCTACATTGCTATTTGACTACAAATGTAGTAGTTCCCAAACCAGGGGATGCAAACTGGCAGAGATTGCTAAATGTTGTTGGTATCCAGTTCCATTTCTTCTTTTTAGTAACAGAAATTTCCTTCCAAAACTGAATTTTAACAAGGCACATACATGACCACCCAGCTTAAGACTACATTTCCCAGCCTCCTCAGAATTTAGCTGCAGCCACATGACAACGTTCTAACCAATGGAATACATACAACTTCTGCATCACTTATATAAAAAGAAATCGTTTGTCTACCAATTTCCCTTTTTTCTTTGCCCTGTGACCTGAAATGTGAACAAGGCACTGGTGAACCCACTTTGACCAGTTAGGTTCATATAAAACACTAGCAAGGTCAAAGATGAAAGAAAGCTGTGGTCCTGGCCATTTTCAGGGATCAGAGCTCCCTACCTCGCCTGGACTTCCTGCCTACCTTTGGACTATAAGAGGAAATAGAAATAATTTTTTCTCTTGTTTGAGCTACAGTATTTTCAAGTGTCTATGTCACTGAAGCTTAGCCAGGACCCAACTAATTTACAAACTCAAATGCCTCAGGGACCAGGAAGTCAACATAAATCAATGAATCACACACATGAGAACTGCTCAAACCTAAAGAACAGTGACCTATCTACAGGGGGTAACATGACCCAGCTTAGCAATAAGGCCTAGGGTTTCCAATTCTATGAATTGATCAAGAAATCTGGATTGTCAAGTGAAATCTTCCAACATTTTAAAATATTGGAAACTAATCCAAATTAAAATACAAATACAAAACTGCAGGTTAAACAAAAATGCCTCTATATCAGACTCAAACCTATGCCTGCCAATTTGTTACCCATTCTCAATTATGAGATAGCATTGAATGTAAAACGCACAGATCCGCCATCATATTAACAACAGCTTTTTGGAAACACAACAACAAAAAGAAGCCTTACAACATCAAATGTATATACACTGACTGCCAGGTATCTTCCTATCAGAAATGTTAAAATACAGAAATATATGTATATTGTTAGGATTGAAAAAATTTGACAAGTTTTTAGGAAAAATTCTAAATATGAAAAACAACCCAGTTGATGATGATGAAAGTGTCGTATAACGAGCCAAAATTCTTCAGCCACCCTGAACCCTGCAAAAGGAAGCAGCTGGACAGCTAATAAAGCCAATAGCTGCAACCCACACAGTAACTGGACTGCAATGAACTCAAACCCCACACCCACATGATTGTGCTAATAAGTGTGGCCTTTTATAATATGCCTTTTTCTTCATTTCAGTATTGTGTAGCCACTCAAAAAGATACTCTACAGTGAGTTTATTCTGTGTTATTTGAACTTAAGTACACAAAATAAATGCTCAGCATAAACATACTTAGGCAATCATTTTAACTAGGGCCTAATTTTAGCCACACCACTACACTGTGACCCATTAGGATCATCAAAGGTAAACTTAACTTACTTCTGAGGTACAAAATAATTATGAAGACAACATTATAGAACCAACATCTTCCCAAAATACCTAATAATATATCACATTGCGGAGCTGTCTTCTGTTGTTCCTTTACATTAGTAAGTGAGAGCACATAAACATCAGCCTGAGGGAGGTAAGGCTGGAGGAGAAGAGGAAGCATCCAGACCATCCTTCAGTTCTGTGGGGTATGACACCCCTTGGCTAGCTGACCAATGTTAGAGTCAGAAGGTGGCTGCAAAGGTTTGTCTGAACCCGGTGCCCTCTGGAAGTCAGATTAGCAGGTAGTCCTCTGGAAGTCAGATTAGCAGCCTCTGGAAGGGTGTCACAGAGGATGACGTTCTAATACAGAAAACTCTTTTCAGAATGTCTCAAAATCTTGAGCCTATGGAATCTTGTGTTGTAGTTTGGTCTTCGGGTATTGAAATAATTTCTCATTTACAATTTCTAATAAAGAAGTAATATGCCAAAACACACACACACACACAAAAAAAGTTCAGTATGACTTTCTCATACTGGATCACTCCTCAGTCCTCATTGGTATTGCCCTAGACCGTGACTAATCTGTTCATTTTGCAAATGATCCAATTTATAAGGAAATTAAAGCATTTGAAATTGACTTTTCAAAATGGGTTACAGACAAATACTGAAAATCAAAACACAAATAAGAATTTCAAATTTCTTTGTTTCTTAAAACATCTTCATTCATTCTGCTGAGAATGTTCATTCTATCAAAGGGAGCTCACTATTGTGTCTGATTTCAAGTGTCTTTCCAGAGTAACGAACATAAAGAACATATATTTGGCTTTAGTCTTTTTCATTATTTATAAGTTTACACCAGATGATTCTGTAGTTTTGTTAGTTTTTTGCTGTTGTTTTGTTTTTAGTTTTGTGGGTTTTTTTACCTCTTTATATATTTCAGTGCATGCAAAATAGTCTCTGGAGGGGAGGCCAAGTCGAGGTTGGTCAATCTATAAGGAATATAAAAGAGAAGAAAATAAACCATTCAGTTGATATAGAACAGTTGGACAAAATACAAGCATGCCTATCCATGTGTGAGCAAGATCCAGTGTTCTTGCTGTTTATAAAAGTAACAATCACACAGAGTGAATACATAATTAGGAAATGGTTTTCACACTACTTCAAAGTATTAAACTGATGGGTAGTTAGGTAATCTGGAAGACTGTGCTGCAGATATTTGAGAAAAACCAAAGAAAACTTGAACAGAAGATATATTGGGAAGGCTTTTAAAGCAGAGCAGAAGGTGCAGGTGAACAAAAACACGTGAGACTCTAAGACAGAGGAGTTTCTAAGTTACACATTTATAGGCCATTCCACTTCCTGAGACTCTAATATGCACCCCTGGGGGACATCCTCCTCTACCCAACCCCTAACTGAGATGGAATAAAAATAAAAGACAAAATCAGGTCTGCTCCACGGTGTCTAGTCCGCCTTCCTGCCCCAGGAGAGCCACCCGGACACACTCTCAGCTCTGCGAGGTTGCTGCCTACATACTGCATGGCAAGAAGGTGGCACAGGGGAAGCTTTGCGTGAAATGTCTTTGATGCTCAACTAAACTGTGTTTGACCCAGTCAATCATGGATAAATATTTCTTGGTTTATTATTTAGTAATAACGTATTTTGAGCAGTTGAAGAAAAAAGAGAAGATGGGTACAGGGCCAAACCAGAGCATTTATAGGTTAAAGTGAGAATCCTGGCAGGAAGAGCCAGGTGAGCACAAAAGAAACATCACCCAGAAGACTGGGTGGAAAGAGCCAGAACACATCTCCACGAGAAAGACCCCGCTCCTCCTCCAACCTCCTGAGCCTCCTTTAAAAAATGTCCTCATGATGATCATGCAGGATGCTGGCATTTGAGAGTCCAAGAAGAGAGGTGGGTTCATTGTCTTTCATGATTTTAATAAATAACCAGGGAGATTTATGCAACAGTGACATAAATATGATTCTGTGACCTGCAACTTTTAGTTTATTTTATTTTATAGGAGACCAAATAAAAGCTTTATAAATTTTTTAGTCCATTCCAAACACTCATTAAGTATAAATCTTGTTTTAAGTGACACCTTAGATAAACCTAAATGAATGGCTTACATTAAAAAAAAAAATCCAGAGGAAAAGGGGAGTGGGGCGGGTAGAAGAGGGTATAGGGGGGTAAATGGTGATAGAAGGAGACTTGACTTGGGGTGGTGAGCACACAATACAATATACAGGTATGTATTATAGAACTGTACACCTGAAACCTATCCAATTTTATTAACCAATGTTACCCCAATAAATTCAATTAAAAAGATAATCTAAAAAAGCATTTGAAAAGAATGGTATCTTATTTACCTTAATTGAGAAAAAAGTACAGGCATTCTTTAGTGAGAATCAAAACTGTGTTCAAAACCCCTTCCGTGTGTTTTTTTTGGAAGCAATTAGGAATTTCTGGTTTCCAGGCCTGCATTACTATGTAAACCAGACCACACTTACGAACATACAGAGAAATCTTAGGTGTTTTTTCTAAATAGGAGGAGTCTAACGTCTTTCATTTCTTATTTATTTTATGAAAGAAGAGGTATCTAAAATAAAGGAAGCAGAAAGGAGAAATGAATCTCTAAAACACAGCATTAAGAAAATATTTTCAAAATGGGGAATTCAGATATCAGGGACAGAGTATTAATGTATTACCTCCTTGCCCATGCAATTCTAGTGAGAATAGGCATTATTTCTAAGTATCAACAACAACAAAGTGTGCGGAAGTGTTATTACAATTTAAAGATAACTGTGGCTGACAGCCATACAAACTTACATGAATTATATAGTTCGAAGAGTTTTTATCATCAGTGCCAATAAAAAAGTTAATAATGACTTTTTTCCCATATTTAGCATTCAGTTGTGCAATAGATTTCTCAAGTGTCCAGGAAGTACCTAAAGCAATGAAAGGTAAAGTACATCTTTAGAAGCTTTAGTGCATTAATATGATACCATAATATAATAATAACATAGATTTTATTGGAATTTTTTTTTAAGAAGTAAAACTGCTTACCATATTCTTGCTCCCAGTTTTCTGTGGCTACTGGCCATTCATATATGTCTGGTAACATTCTGAGTAGAGGCGCTCCACCTCTGCTGTCAATAACAGCTTTTGAAAGCAATGAAAATAAATTTTTTAAGAAGTCTATGCATATTTTGGCATATTCTCAATGAAATATAATGAAGAGCACTTACATTCATTTATACAAGATCTGTACAATGTCTTTGCTTTCTGTACTGCTACTATATCATCAGGTTTGGGTTTCTCAAGGACATCTGAAATGGGGCATTTAATAAAATGCATTAATATAATTGCTCATTTGCAGCTGTAATTAACATTTTCAACACAGGTTCAGGAACAAACTTGCTTCTTTGTATGTATGTTCACTCCCTTCCCATGCCCAAACCCTACAGGAGAAACCTATTCCCTCACCTGGTCATTATTCCTAGTGCAGAGATGGGACTTAGTTTCGTTGGCCAAGTTACATGACAGTGGTTTTCACTAGATTATCTCTTTTTGTGTGTGAACAGTGATGAGTACTGCTCTGCCATAGATAAGTTACTTTGGTTTTAAATTGAGATCAGAAAGAAAACAAATAATAATACAAAGGAATTTGGAATTTAATATGATAGTTCTCTTGATGGCTGAAAAATAATTCTCTTTGTGTGATTGTATTGTTCACGCTCCCGATACATTGAATGAATTGTTCTCCTTCTTGGGATGTTAGAAAACAGCAAAACTTGTTTCCTACAAAGTAACTTCTGGAGGAGAACAAAGGATGGAGGATAGTATGGGACTAGCCACGGCGTTCTCAAATTCCCAGAGAGTGTCTTAAGCTGGGTTAGACGTCTTATAGTGACGTCAACACATGGCTGGGCTGTGAAGACCAGAGAGGTGGTGTTTAGTGGAAATCATTTAATTTCTTATTCTGTATAATGGCATAAAGATGCCATCTCTATCGGGTTTATTGTTTGAGCAGCTACAAATGAAAGCAAGGATGCTAAGAGAGGCCTACACATCCCTTTCAGTGTCTACCACCCTCAGTGTGACGAGGTGGTGGCCCACAAAACTTGGAGGGATTACTTTAATCCAGTGCACTGTTCCCCCATAATGACCAAGATTTTGTATCTTAAAAAAGATTAAGAGAGAAATCTTTGATGCATAGACACAAACTTCACTCACCTTTCAAAACAACTTCTAGTTCATCCCTTAAAATGTCAAAGTTACTGTAACGGGAGTTGGTCTCAGGAATGACGTTGCGTTTCAGCCAGCCTCCACAGGCGTACTTGAAAAAGTCGGTACAAGGCTCAGCAGTGGGATCCATGTTCTGCATGAGTCGAGCCGCTGTAGGACCAGACAAATGACGACACAAAACACGGGGTGTGTTTCTCAAGTAGTTTGGAAGGGGGCAAGAAGGCACGTTGCCTGCACTTCACGCACAAGCCAGCTGGCCCGGTGCTCCTGACGCGTAACTGTCAATGTGAGGTGGAATAACGAATATTGCCTACGGAGAGCCCTCCTTTACTGGAGTTGACTGGTGTTATCCTTTATAGGTCTGAGGCCTTCAGCCTACATCTCACACCCCCCCCCCC